TGAAATAGGGTTAAGATGGATATCAGGAATAGCATTTTAGAGAAATAATAATGTTCTATAAACGAAATAAAATAAAATATTTTGTTTGTATACTTGTCGTAAACTCAAACAGATAAAACCAAAATACATTTAATGAAACTTTGGGTTTTACGATACATCCTTTATACATAAAATACATTTCCTGAAAAGAGCAGTTAAAGTCTTCTTGCGATCTATACACTCGAGCTTTTATTTCATTGATATACACAAACTTTATCGCCAGTCCCCCGTGTATCAGTGTATATTTATTCGAAAAGAGAACTGTTTTGTGACTGCATTGTACTTTTACGTGACAGAAAATAATTTTATGGCTGCAAATGGTGCAGAGGAAGAGATATTTAGTACGTGCACTGAAAAAATAAGTGAGATTAAACTGAAGACTATAACATTGTCTGCCTTAATTTGGTAATATACTCTCGGAGCAATAGTTCTCAATGTATAAGAAGTATCATATTTTGTACTCAGTCAGTTCTTGCTTTTTTCAAAGATTTATTCTATCATTTCTTGCTATAAGTGTTCAATTACTTCGTACATTTAAATTTAGTGCCATACCTTAGATGTCTCATTATCTAATTTTCTTTAACTCAAGTTTTGCAAAAACATACAAGGTACCTCTTCTAAACCAAAGTTTTAGAGAAGTTAAATAGTCATCAGAAGTCCATCCACATTTATAGTGATGCGTCAAAATCGAGAAATGGAGTGGGTGCTGCATTGGTCCAGCAAAGAACGGTCATTTCAACTCTCTAAGCAATTAACTTTATTATCTGCTGAACTATTTTCCATTATTCAGGCAATAAAATTCGTCAATGAAAATAATATTGTTAATAGCCTAATAATTAGTGATTAATTCAGTTCACTATCCTCATTAAACAAACTTTTTACTTAACACAATATGCAATATGGAATAATTGTCCTGCATTTGGTATCTGAGTCCATTCACGAATGTTTTTTAACAAAGAAACTTGTTTTCTTCCTACACCTCTACGGCCCTCTGTTTTGCCTTTAAGGATCTTCTTCTTCTTCCAGTTCCATGACCGTTATCGATCGTTGGATATCATGTTGGCTACCATATTCGCCATCGTGACTTTATTGACAGCAGCTCTAAATAACGATGTAGTTGATTTTCCATACCATTGCCTTAGATTTTTCAGCCATGATGTTCTTCTTCTACCAGGACCACGATTACCTTGGATCTTTCCCTGAATGATCAGATGTAAAAGTTCATATTTTTCAGGGTGTCTCATAATATGACCGAAGTATTCCAGCTTGCGTTTCTTTATTATATTGACCAGTTGTGTTGTTTGGTTCAGCCGTCTAAGGACCTCCTCATTTCTAACTCTGTCGACCCAGCTTATTTTTAGTAGTCGTCTGTATACCCGCATCTCAAAGGCTGTCAAGCGTTTAAGCATAGCCTCAGTTAGGGTCCACGCTTCTACTCCATACAGCAGGACAGGAAAGATCAGTTGGTAAAATTTTATATCGACTTCCCCTTACTATATGCCCCAGATAAGAAATTTTTCGATGTTTAACAGTCTTTAGCAGTTCTCTATCTTTATTGACGCTCCTTAGTACTTCTTCATTAGTTTTTCTTGCTGTCCAAGGTATCTTCAGCATTCGTCTATGAACCCACATTTCCAATGTTTTAATTTTGTTTATGATCAATACTTTTAGCGTCCACACTTCTGCACTATACAAAAGTACAGACCAAACATAGCACTTAACCATTCTTGACCTTAGTTCTAAACTGAGATGGTTATTGCAAAGAAATGACTTTATTTGTATAAAAGTAGTTTTAGTCATTGCTATTCTACATTTTATTTCTATGTCTGGATCTAGTTGGTCCATTATCACAGTTCCCAAATATGTCATTTTGTGAACTTTCTCAACTTGAGCTCCGTTCAATTGAAGCTTTGCGTCGGGATGTGGGTCACGACTAAACACATTGCTACTTCATACATTGCTACTTCAGCTAAAAAAGGTATATCAGAGTTAGACACTAAACTACTCCAGGCCGTGTGAATCGCCACTTTTGCCAAACTCTGGCGCTTTTTTAGATGAGCTTTAAACAACAACTTGGGTGATACTATCATTCCCAAATAATTATAGTTATTCACTACCTCTAATACTCGATCATTTAGGTTTCAAGATTCCCTGATCACACGACCTCCTCTTCTAAATACAAGAATTTTGGATTTATCTAAACTTATTTTTAGGTTCCTCATCCTACAGCCAATCATCTGCATAATAAAAGTGTTATATTCAAACTATTTATCTCCAAACCGCCTCCCAATGCTTTTTGTAGGTCATTCAAGAAAAGCGCAAATAGTAATGGACTTAAAAGATATCCTTGTCTCACTCCTACAGTAACTTAGTATATAGAAAATCACGAAGGAGCCACGTTGTTTTGTTTTAAATGTTATCAAATAATAAGAATATTATAATGTATACTAACATAAATTAATATTTGACAAATATTTGTCCTTCCAGTTATTGCATTTTTTTGCCATCAGTATATATTCCAGGTAATATTTGATTCTTTAATTAAACTGATGAAATAACTAATAATAAAACAGAGATATCCCCTTTTATTTAACGGGAAATATACCTGCTTTTCCTTCCCAAATTAAAAATCTTCAGAGAAACAATTTAAACGTATAATGACCACTTATTCCTTAACTATGAGCGAATACGAGATTTCTAGCACCCTACAGAATAATTCTTTTAGACAGGAAATAAAAAATCATACACTTTCTGCTTTGTCGTGCTACGCCCGGCTAATCTTAATTACAAACGCCAGTATAAATTTGAATTTTTTAATATAAAATTAAAATCGTCGTTCTCCTTATAACAACGATCCAGTGTTGGATTTGAAAAACTATTTTTAAATTGATTTATAACACGCTGTATCGTCTTTTATCACAATTAAAAATGCTCCTGCGTTTAAATCCAAATTCTATCGATGAATGGGTAATCATAATTTTACCTTACGTACGTTACATAAGTGGATCATAACACAGACCTACAGAAAAAAAATTTGTTTTGGTGCCGTGAATCTTCTAGCATTTTAAAATTCTTTTGTAAGTATTGAAATCACCCCGTATATGTTAAAACACCGAAATGTTATTTAAGTCCTGTTTGCATCGCCGAGGTCGATAATAAAGCATTTTAGAGTTTGTTCATATATTACAGAAGTGAATTCCTTGGTATTTTTTTTTGTCGAAGCCGCTTTAAAATATTTTTCGTCGTCAAATGAACAAAATATATCTGTTTATATGTTTTGTTTAAACCAAGTTACGTAAATGAATTTTAGAGATAATTAGATCATCTCGCTGAAACCATTGTCAAGGGTAGTTGGTTTCAGGTTAATCCAAATTTTTCGTCAAATTTGTAAAGTATTTCCGTTTTTTTTTTGTCCCTTTTCATGGAAAATATGTAGCAGTGTTAAGTTCAGTGTACAGTTACAGTTTAGGTGAGGTTTGAATGGGTGGTCATTTAAAACAGACGTGTATAGTTTACTCGAAAAAAAAAACGGTAAAATTTGTTAGAAACAGTGATTTTTACTCAATGTAATATGTCATTTCTGAACGAGTAATTACTGTTTCTTATTTGTATGCCGTCACCTATTAGAATACTAGGTGCTTCAAAATCACTATTAGTGCTGCTATCTGTCGATGTCTAAGCCTAGTTAGTAAAATTATCTCAATTAGTATCCGCTAGATGGCACTCTCATTCATGTTTACAACTGATATTATTGCCTTTTTTGTAGTCAGTCCTGATTAGATATTCATAATAGGTTGCAGAAGTTGGGTTAATCATCTTGGTGTGTTTTGTTATTATCCGACAAGCGAGAGCTGGCGAGTTGCGCGTAGAACAAATTGAAAAGTGGAAGGGATTGCTCATTTCTATTGCAGTCGGCTAGGAGTTCACATCGTGTAATTAGTGCTAGATTTCTGACAGTGTTGTCAAGTATTTACATTTGTGTTTGGAGTGGCCGTATATTATAAACTATTATTTATATTTATTAAAATGGCAAGTGTATTAAAAGACAAACCTTTCGGATCTCAAGCACGAGAAATAATTTTCAATGTTTTTAAGTTTACAACCGAAGAAGCTAATGCAAGATAAAGTCTTAGTTGATTTAAAAAAACATAAAAGAACGTGTAGCTAAATTAACTGGTAATTATAATAATCATTTTCCAAATAAATTCAGATTTAAATAAATTAAATTAATTACTATTTAACTGGGAATAAGCAATAATTAAAGATAAAAATACGTTTATTGACGTTTCAATTTCCACTTCGGAAATCGTTCTCAAAATGCAAACAGTAAATTGAATTTAAATAAATTTACTGTTTGTATTTTGCGTAATAATAAAATAAGATAAAACGTACAAACCTACAAACCACGTTGATACCTGTTATTTTTGTCTGGTCAATATTTGGAATCAATAGAAACAATCGCCAAAAGAGATTATATCCTGACTTGCCTTCAGCCAAACACTAAGTACTCCACTCAAAGAAATTACCCCTCCCAGAATTCCAAAAGTTACCTGACATTTTTGAGGATGAAGGTAACATTTTTGAACATATTTCTGACTCCCATAAAGACAGTGATAGTGATTACGACGGGGCAACAGCAAACAAAAAAAAGAAGTAAGCGATCTCGTTAGAGATCTCGTTACTAGAACAAGGCAAAAAAATTACTTTTTATAGAATATAGAAAAAGGAACTGTTACCCTTCTTTAACCAAGAAGAAAGCCTTACTTTTCTTTGGGCGTTAAGGAGCTCTTGGAAAAAATGGGACTTCCACACTACAATGCAAATGAATGGCGTTTGTTTATTAAGAGCTCCAAGTGCAGTTTATAATATGTTCTACTTTACAATGGAAGTTTTGCTCAATGCCAATTGCTTATTCTACCGTAATGAAAGAATAATATGCTACAATATCTTTAGTTTTACAGAAGATAAAATACTAGGAACATGGCTGGGTGATTTGTGTAGACTTGAAAATGATAAACTTTTTTTGGACAGCAAAGCGGCTACAAAAAATATCCTTGCTTCTTGTGCTTCTGGGTTGTTAGGGACCGAAAAAACCACTGGGTTAAAAAAGAGTGACCTAAGAGAAAAAACTAGCTAATTGGACAGAAGAACATTATTAACCAGTATTTAGTAGAACCAGAGAAAATAATCTTACCACGCTCCATATTAAGCTAGGCCTAATTAAACAATACGTTATGGCACTTGATTCTAATGGTCCATGCTTCGCCTACGTAGAAAAGAAGCTACCCCAGATAAGTACGGAAAAACTTAAAGCTGTAATCTTTAATAAACCACATATCAGACTTCTTACAAAGGATCTGGCTTTTGTGGGGTCAGTGACTGAGGTAGAGAAAAAAGCTTCGTTTTCATTTATGGATATTATAAAAAATTTTCTAAAAAATCACAAAAGTGAAAGCTGTGGTTAACTGGAATAACATAAGGTTAAGGTTAAGCTCATGGCCATGAAATAATTTCGACATCCTCCAAGAGATTTCTTTATTATTTCATAATTTTATTACTAATATTAAATCTGTCATGGTGGACACTTTGTTTACTTATGAGCATCTGTTTGGTGGTCTCCAAAGTTAAACATAGTTTATAGTACCAGCTAAATTCTTATATTATATTTAAGTGTTTAAGTGTTATATTTAACACTTCCCATCCTATAAAACTGGTCTAGTACATCAAGTATATTACTTTATCCTACGCAGAATATAAACTATAAAATATCTGAGGCGAAAAAACGCTTTTCAAAACGTGACAGTATTACATTATAATCCAATATCTCACGGTAGTGTTCCTTATAGAGCTTAAATCTATACCCCAATTGTAATCCGCTCTTATTTATAAATAGAGAATTACTTGTTTAAATTACTATGTATAAAGTGTAAACAAAAAACATTTTCCGCAAATCGCCAAAAAATTTTGATATTCCTGTCAAAATTTCTTGAAGAAAAAGTCAGAACTTCCTTACTGTAAGGAAATGTCATTTCCTTACTGTAAGGAAATGATATTTCCGTACAGTTGTTAGTGTTCTACATAAATGATAGAAAACACATTGCTTATAAAATTGTCTGTATGCATTTTCGTACTTTTCTCTTGATTTCTTTGGCAATAATTCTAATGAAGCAGTATTCACTGCCTCAACCAGCTCTGGAGGAGTCCCAGGAATGGAAATTTCATCATCACTTATCATTTTACTTTCGAGAACACCAGCAATTAAATTTATAAGCGTCAAGTTTGACAATTCAACCTCAATACGTTTCCATAGTAACCCAAGTAATTTTATTAGGAATTTCAAAGCACCATTTATTTGGGAATAAAATTATCGCGTTTTTTTTAAATCAATCAATATCTGTCGAATTTTAAACGATTTGCGGAAGAATAGTATATTTACCTCGTAGGAAAAGCCACATTCCTGGATTCTGTGTTGCTAAGTCTCGGCTTGCGCCTCGACTTAGCAATCTTCACAGTCGTCCAGGAATGTTAAGCTTTTCCTACCCGGTAAACAATGTACTATTACCTACCCGTAGAGATGCATATTTTTTTCAAAATTAAATGGTTTACTGTGTATAAATAAATGATAATGAGAATTAAATTAAGCGGAGTAAGATACTGTCTTAAAAAATCCTCTTATACCTAACTGAATAATAATCGTTTAGTATCTACAGATCTACAGTTATTTCATAAATTTGTCCAAATATATTCAGTTGTCATTTCTTAAGTCAAATCTTGATTTTGTAGCCCAATTAATGCGGATAGTTAATATAGAATGTCAAGAATTTAAAATAATGTTAACAATAAAAGATCTAAAACTCCCACTAAGTGAAAATACGTCACTGGCGGGCTAGCATTTTGAATTATAGGTTAAGTTTGGTGAAAAATCTAAAATTGGCCGTGAATATATAAAACCCCGGCGACGTCTTCCGGCAAATTCAGATAATCTGCATAAATTGTTGGCCATTAATTTTCAAAGCCACGTCAGATGGTGCTATATTAATGCCATTATCAGGAAGATCATTTGCCACCCTTTTCTTAATGGTGCTGTGGCGATTTTCCAAATTATGGGAGTGGTTTACTACGGGTAGATGTCTTGTTAAATAAAGCGGAGATATTGCTCCGAAATCTCGGTCCGATTATTTAAGAAGATTTATCTAAAAGTGAATAAGAACATCAAGATGAAGCCATTAAAAAGATTAATTTATTCTAAAGCTAAATTTACTGTTGATCCGTTGGTAATTGGGTCTCTGGGTTTACCAGCTTAGGAAAATTAGTGAGTAAGGTTATTTTTTACTAGATTATTTGATTCGGTTAATTATTTGTTTGTTTATTATTTAGTAGCTAGAAGGTTTCAACTTAGCGAAATAAAAAGTAATTTATGTTATCTAAAAATTATTATCGACAAGAAAATATGTACTGCGGTGGCGACATATGTAAAGACCGTGTTCCTATCGAATTCATACTTGTTACAGTGGACGCCAAATCTGACGAACCAGCGCACAAACCGGATTTCGTTTACTTAAAATTCGACATGCCTACTTACACTTTTTCCACTTTTTACACTTTCTTTAATTCCAATTAAAGAAGTACGCGATTCAAGAATAAGCTTCTAACTTAATTCTTAAGCAATGAAATTTTGTTTTTACTTCTATTTATATAGTTTAATAAAAACATTATATTTTCATTATAAAATTAGAATTTTTCTTATAAATACTTAAAAGTTTCAAACTTCCCTAACATCTTCAATATTATACTCTAATTATAAGCTATTTAAGTAATAAATATTTAAAAGTAAAAAAATTAATCAAAAAATTAATAATAATAAATAAATTTTTAAATGATTTAAAGAAAATAATTGTAAAAATATTCTCTTATTTAATTGATTAATTAAACCAGAACTACCATAATATTCAAATCATCCTATATCTATAAATTTTTTATAAAAAGAACCTAAATAAATAGGATAATAATTTACCCCTAAAGTTGATAAAATAGGTATATTTCATATCAATCTAAAAAATAAAACTCTGGTAATTCTCCTTAATTACCACACATCTAATACCACATCTACTTCTAATTACGTTTATAACTGAACTATATGAACACACTACTGGATCAGTTAAAGTACTTGACACACTTTCGAACGAGTTTCATCCAGAACGGGGTGTCAGACAAGGATGTATACTATCTCCACAATTATTCAATAAATATGGACAGTATATTAGGCGAAGAGCACTTGAAGGATGGGAAAAGGGCATCTCAATAAATGGTCATAAACTAAACAACCTACGTTTCGCAGATGACACAGCCCTTCTTGCCAATAGTCAAGCAGAGCTGATGGAACTTATACGACTGATCGAAAACGAAAGTCAAATATTTGGTCTGCAATTAAACATATCAAAGACAAAGATCATGATAGTGGATAGACTACACAACAATCATCCACACATAACCACAATTGACCGGTTCGAGGTTGTGAGCTCATACTTATATCTGAGATCATTAATCACAAACACAGGATCATTACAAGAGAAGATTAAACGTAGATGTGATCTAGCAAAAGTTGCCACAGCAAAAATGACCAAAATATGAAAGGAATGTCAAATTTCAAGAGCGGTAAAGATGAGGTTGATCAACTGCTTAATATTTTCAATACTGACTTACGGATGTGAATCTTGGACTCTGAGACAATCGGAGAGAAAAAATATAGACGCCACTAAAATGTTCTGTTGGAGACGAATGTTACGAATTCCTTGGACCGACCGTAGAACAGATAATTCAATTTTAAGAGAGCTAAAAGTTAGCCAACGACTCTCTAGTAAAGTCCATCTCCAACAATTAAAATATTTTGGACATGTTATGAGAGCAAACACAGAAAACATGGAAAGACTCATAATACAAGGAAAGGTAGAAGGCCGAAGATCACGAGGAAGATCCCCAACAAGGTGGATAGATCAAATTACAGGAATATGCCAAAGACCTATTCATGAATTAAAAGAAATGACCAGAGACAGAGATCTCTGGAGACGGACAATACACGACATCACGTCGACCACTACACTTCCCCTGGAGGGTCAGGATTAAAGAGAGAGAGACTTACACTTTAAACCTTATTCTGCCTTACTTTCAGTAGCGGAACTACTTGTCAGTAACGATTGTACATGTACAGATGAATTTGTGTATTTCTTATGGTGTATTTGCAAGGTGACTGTCGATTTGGATAATGTCTGTAATCGTGGAAACTAAAGTGTGGATCCGTGATATCAGGACAAAATCATAAAAAAATATTATTTTGATAAAACAAAAATGACGGGATTACTTTAGAAGATATTAAACGGAAAATTTTACAAGTAACAGGTAAAAATATTATGTAGTTTATTTATAATGAACTCAAATCAAATCACTGGTTTGATCATGAGTGCGAAATGGTCACAAATAGAAAGAACGCAGCATATCAAAAAACCATCGACGCAGGTTGTACTCGGAGAACAAAAGAAGTATATAGACATTTTAAAAGAAAGAAAAAATGAATCCATCTACGTCAGAAGAGGGAATACGAACAGAACCCTCTCAATGTATAACGAAAATATTTTGCCTACCTTAGGGTAAGATCATGGGGGTAGAAAATTGGGGACAGAAACTATTGGTGTGGAGATAGGGCAAGCAAAATAAACGCTACTTGTGCGAACGGCACTCAGGGTTTGTTAGGAGAGCTGAGGTCGTGGATAAGTAAATGGCAAGGGGGTTGGATTGAGAAAACTAAAAGAAATATGAAAGAAAGGGTCATGAATCTCTTGGGACAAACAAAACAAAAAGAAACAGGAAACACCTCTAGTAATTTACACAGGACGCCACTTCGAGGTGCCTAATTATAACCATTACAGCAGCTAGTGGTAACTAGAGAAATAATTATTAAAACTGAAAAACATATCTTTTTAAAAAAAAAACTCAAAAAACGGTTAATTAAAAAAGAATAAACAAAATAAAAAAAAAATATTTTTGTGTCATCAGCGTAGAACGATATTTTACTTGAGACATAATAAGGAACATCGATAGTGTAAACTGTAAAAAGCAGAGGTCCAAGGACAGAACCCTTAG